GCTGCTGAATCTGGAGTCTGGGACAGAACAGCGGGGGCGCTGCCCGGTAGGTTCCCACAGGACCAACCCAGCAGCACCCCAGCTGCTCTACCCGAGGCATCCCGCAACAAAAGCCTGGTATGCTGGGATGGGGGGCGCACTAGCTGCGCCCCCTTCCCCCCCCAGCAGACCAGGAAGACCCGAGCAAAGCCGCACAGGCGGAGGGACCCCGCTACCCGTGCGGCTTTGCTCCTTTGCCCTGGAGCAAAGCTGCACAGGCGGCGGGGTCCCCCGCCTCTGCGGCTTTGCTCCTGTCTCCCTGCTGTGCAGACGAGAAAAGCCCTGTTCGTAAGTGCGGATCCTACATAAGTCGGATCTGCGTAAGTCGGGGACTGCCTGTAGTAATTTTTCATATAGATCCACACTTTTAAGTACTAGAGGTTGACCATGTGTTACAATAAATAATGGTCTTAAAGAACCATTGATTGGATTATAGGGAAACATCCAAACTGAGCAGTCTGACAATGGACCAAGAGGTCACTAAAAAGGCACTATCAATAGAAACATTCAAAAACTGATCCTCTCAAACTCTTAACCAAGTATTGTAGAGAAGTAAAGATGCAAAAGATTGCTAACAGGTATATAATGTTCCTTTCACATGTAATGCTTGATTCTTGTGAAACTCAGTTGTTCAAGTGACGGGGAGTCCTGTGGCACTTCACAGACTAATAGATTTATTGGAGCATTTGACGAAGTGGGTCTTTGCCCATGAAAGGTTATGCTCCAATAAATCTGTTGGGGTATGTCTACACTTGAAGCCTATTTCGGAATAGGGCTGCAAATGTAGGCATTTGGAATTGCAAATCAAGCCCGGGATTTAAATATCCCACGCTTGATTTGCATCTTCCCGGCCTGGCACCATTTTTTGAAATTTACAAGCCCGGAATAACTGCCTGTGTCTAAACACGGCAGTGAAACGGGTGTTCGAAATAAAGCCCTATTTCGAATTACCTGCTAAACCTCACTGCAGAAGGAATAACAGGTAGTTCGAAATAGGGCTTTATTTTGAACGCCCGTTTCACTGTTGCTTGTAGACGTGGGCAGTTATTCTGGGCTTGTAAATTTAAAAAAAAAATGGCACCTGGCCAGGAAGATGCGAAATAAGCGCGGGATATTTAAATCCCGGGCTTGATTTGCAATTCCAAATGCCTACATTTGCAGCCTTATTCCGAAATAGGCTGCAAGTGTAGACCTACCCTTAGTCTATAAGGTGCCACGGGACTCCTCGTTGCTTTTGCAGATTCAGACTAACATGGCTACCCCTCTGTCAGTTGTTCAGTTTGTCAGTTGTTCAGTTTGTCAGTTGTTCAGTTGTCAGTTGTTCAGTTTCCACCTGCCTTTGGCTCCATGAAAACTATAATGAACTACCCCTTGTGCAATACTCCATCTGGTTTGCTTTTTAATCTAAATGGTTATTGTCTTTCCCTTTTGCTTCCACTTGGCTGTAGGGTATAGTGCTGTTTTTCAATGCATTGATGAAAAGCACATTTATTTCTTCATACCTGACTAAATGCAGTAGTAGTTCAAACACAATGAAATTTCTTAGTGAGTCTTTTAATAGCAAATGTCCTCTCAAAGAGCAACCCCACCATTTATAATGAACGCGGCTGGGGGTACAGTTAATTATTCTGTGCTGTCTGGCAAGTTTCAGTAGAGGCCCATGTTACCTTTTTAAGATGCACATCTATATTCTGATAGTCTTCAAAGCATTTAGAACTTTTCAGTATAGTTCTCTGGAGAGCAAAGTCAAGCTTGACCTATATCTATAAAATACTCTTGAGAATATATGGGATATAAAGGCCTGATCCACAGCCCCATAAGTCACTGGAAAGATTCCATTGTCTTTTGGAAACTTGAAGACAATTCTTTATCACAGCAAAACTTTGCATTGCATAGATTTTAGAGACCTTTCATTTCACTTACGTTAGCTCAATTAATGACCCAAAAGTAAATATCCTATTATGTGAAAGAAACTGGTGAAATCCATCCATTTCTTAGCAAATGGCTATCTGTATTACATGTACCAAATAAGTTGGTTTTAATTGGACTCAGGATGCAGTATTAGACAATTCAAGAATTGATTGGACATGCAGACTGAGTTACTTTCTTAATCCTGGAAGCAATCTCTTTAGAACAGATGGGGAGAACGGTCTTTTGAGTTGGGGGCTACTGACCCATAGGAAAAATCAAGTTGGGGACCACATGCAAGTGAAAAGCAAAAACAAAAACCCTCCCTGAACTGGCCCTCAAGTGAGAGAGAGGGGGAAAGGCACTCACTTCACTCCTACAACTTGGAATGCCAGAGCTTCTCCTTAGGGCTGGATTAACTCCTCTGAGGGCCTGGGGTTAGTGGAATTTGAATTTAGGCTCTGGATGGGGCCAAAAATGAAGGGTTCAGGGTGGAGGAGGGTGCTTCTGAGGAGTGGGCTGTCGGTGAGAATGCAGGGTCTGGGCAGGAGGTAGGGTGCAGGTATTGGGTCTGGAGGAGGATGAAGGAAATTGGGGTGCTTACTTAGTGTAGCTCTGTGGGTGGGAGAACATATGGATCTGTGCAGCACTGTACTTGCAAGCACCATCGCTCACATTGGCTGCAATTTCTGATTACTGGGAGGAAATCCAACAGGTGCCTGTGCTGCTGTTCCCTCAGACAGAGGGAGGGGGAATGGCAGTGCACAGGACCACTTTCCTCCCAGCCCCACACCTCAGCCAGGCCAAGGTGGCTGTGCAGGCACTTTAGTGCCTGCTCCACACTGCATTCCCTTTGCAGTTGGAGGGGAGCCCAGAGCCTTATAGGCTGGATCAAGGGAAGCTGAGGGGGACGGATTCAGCCCAAGTGTTGTAGTTTCCCCATCCCTGCTCTAGAACCTGGTTGAAGAACAGTGGAAAGTCTGCCCTCTTCCTTGTTGCTACTATGTGCTGTATTTATTCTCTGAATAAATAAGACTTGAGATTCTATGTATGTCAATAGCACTTAAGGGAAGGGTCTGATTTTGTGCACCTGGGAGTGATGCAGGGCCAGGGCAGGAGTAAGTCTGCCTTGGCTCCACTGCTCCATCCTTGGGGCAGATGTCTGGCCACTCTCAGGGTGGGGCTCAAGCCCACAGCCCTGCACTGCAGATTCTGATGCCCTATCGCCTAGGCCACACCAGAATCCAGCCCACCTCCCCACTTTTGCCTGGTCCCTTATATCCTGCCTTCCTAATACAGGAGTCATCTCCATCCTGGAGTAAGCCTGTATTGGCTGTCCAGCCCCTCCCAGGGTCGGCGGGAGTCCAACCCACCATCCCACGCTCCCCTGGAAAATGCCTTTCCTCCTCCTCCCGCCCTCCCCCACC